ACTTCATCAGACGCAAGGCGATGAAGTGGGCATTCACCCACGAAAGCTTATGCTCCAATACTTCTGTTAGTCTTAAAGGTGCCACAGGACCCTCTGTTGCTAATCATTTTTGTTGCCCTCCACTGGACTCTTTCCAATTTTTCCACATCCTTCTTATAGTGTGGGGCCCAAAACTGGACACAGTACTCCAGATGAGGCCTCACAAATGTTGAATAAAAGGGAATGATCATGTCCCTCGATCTGCTGGCAATGCCCCTACTTATACAGCCCAAAATGCTGTTAGCCTTCTTGGCAACAAGGGCACTCATATCCAGCTTCGGGCACTCTGCTTGATACTATGAACATACACATCCATTTTTGAAGTCTTGGCCAAGATACCTAAACTTTAAACGCTGTTTTGCCTTTTTTGGTACTTCACAAAAGAACAAACAGGGGATCTGTTTTTCTAATTTTCAAAGTTCTCTTCAGATAGGAAATGCAAAGCTTGTTATATAGTATGTATGAAAGTATGTTCCTTACTCAGTTTCACCAGGCCTGACAGAACAAGGGAAGAACATCTTCCTGACCAAACACACAGACAAATTATTTTAAACTGTCTCCTTTTGCACCAAACAATTGTGACCAAAAATTGTAACATTCAGATCTTACTGCTTGATTGCATTGACAGCATTTACACTACGTATTAAGGAGCCTGCTACTGGTTATAGAGAAGGTTAAGAATCAGATGAAAAAACTGGTAAGGCTAGAGGGAGCTTCATCCTCAATTTTCTGGACAAGCAGATGGCCATTATTAATACAACATTATGGTCAGAAATCTTTCTAAAGCACTCCACAGAAGCTCTTTTCAAATCCCTGAGAAGATTTTCATGATAAAGTTGAAATCCCATGCAACTATGACAAAGTCTTTGCTTTTGTTTTTCAGCTGCCCTAAAAACCGAACATCACCTCACCTCTAAAAGGAAAACCCCAGATGAATTGCCTTGATTCTTAAGGCCCTACCAATTGCTTTATAAATCCTGAAGGGAGTCGATCTTCGGGTCTTTATTTTGAACATCCTTAAAAAGACTAGCATGTGATGTTACTGTTCAAGAGATCCACTACCATGTGAGAGGGTTCCAGCCTGGTACTACAGATCCAACGTAGTATCCCCAGGTAACAGAGAAGAGACACGCTATACATCTTTTCTTTGAAGGTCTAACTCTAAAAACTAGAGCTTATCAACACAGGAGCAATGATATTTGAGGATAGGTATTTCATACCAGCTTTTTCACTGGCAGAAATTCTACAGCTGGGAAAACAGACAGGAGAGAGATACAGGTCATCTGATTTTGAGGACACTGGCTAGGGGAAAGAAAACTCCTGAACAGACACAGTGACCAATTGCTGACAACCTCGGTCTATAAAATGTCATTTTCCTAGTGTACATTAATCTACAAAAGGAAGTTACCATCTGAAATACACTCAATATAGCGATGCTTCCTTCATGTTTGTCTCTTTCTCCCCCCAAAAGGGGTGTGTGGTTCTGTTTTCACTGTCCTACTTAGTAAGCCTGAATTTCCTTGAGAAAGCTTTCCAGACAGGTTCTCTGATCAGATGAAATTAGGTCAACAGCACACCTCTGAGGTAAAAACTGTAGCTTCTGAACCCTTCTCCTAGAATCAAGGGGACCAGACCTCTCCCCAACTCCCAATTGCATACCTATTCCCCCTTCTCCAACTTGGCTCATTGTTCCCACCCATTTTCATCCTATTCCTAGTCATCATCTAGAATAGCTCTCCCAACATCACCATTTTCACAACACCCAAGAGAGCACAGTAAACTAACTAAATTATGCAGCTGAGTCCCTCATTTTTATATCAGTCAATAACGGCTCTTTCAAGCAAATGGTACCTTAAGCAGGAACCTGAAATGATTGGAAAAATATTTTAAAAGGTGCTTATGATCTTTAAGATTAAACTAATACAATACCATGGTAACACTTGTTTTGTTGATATTTTCCAGATGTATCTTAACTTGCTGCACAATTTTCAGTTTACCCCAGAATTCAATGCCAGTATGCTACAGAAATCAGGAGGCCTTAGCTTTCTTACCAAGTAGGTAAGACAACCTCCATTTTTTCCAATATTGGTTCATAAACACACCTCAATCTTATTCTCAATATATAAAATAAATGAATGAGGATCAGAGATTTTTGCGTAACAGTAAAAAGAGTCACAAGTACATCTTGGCTTTGTTGTCATACCGGTGTTTCTGTAGTTGATGTAGCAGGCTGTTGTAATGACTGTGGTCGGGCTTCCTCTGACTGAGTCCTAATCAATCCACTAGCATGCCCCTTGGCAGTATCTCCATTTGTGACCTGAGGATGCTGCTGGGTCAAAGCAGCTTTCAATCTCTGAAAGTTGAGTAAGAAAATATTCTGTCACATTTTTCATAATGGAAGATACTGTGATAACTTACATTAAATAATAGCTATTTATATAGCAGTAGCACCCATATACTGCTAGCTACTTTCCAAACATACACAATGAGCTCACACTTTAAGATAAGAAACACACAAAGGGTGCAGGAGGATGAAACAAAAAAAAATTGTTTTAACAGTCTAATTGGCCTTCTACTAGTTGAAAATTGCTTGCAACCATCACTGTAGAAGTGAGTATTGAAGAGGATGATGAAGAAGTTAAAAGGGTAACGGTGTTATGAACAAATTAAGGAAGGGCATTCCTTCCACACAGCGTAACATGGAAGAAAATGCACAGAACAGTGTCGGAGAAGTGAACTAATACCACTGATGGAGTGGAGTGGACAGTGTACTGTACAATGCGATAGAAAGACAAGAGTGGATAAATACACAGACAGTAAACCCAGACACAAGAAATTTCTTTCAAAACCGAATTTAAAAAAACTTCTGGTGGGGTTATAGTTTGTTTTAAATCATATTCTTTGTTCTAAGATGATATCTTGATAATGCATTAAATAATTGACATCTTTTAACTCAGATGTGGAAATTAACTAATGTTTACATAGTGCACAGGCTAAATATTTTCAACAATGGTTTACAAAAGCTTTTATGAGCGGATTTATTAAGCAACACAATTACAAAAAAATAGTAATTACAAACTGTATCTGTATACAATATATTTCAAGAGTCACATTATATATTAACCATGTGCTATATTCTAAAGCAGATCTTATTGACTGTACTAGTCTATTTGAAATTAAGTTTACAACCGCTTGAAAATAAAAGTTATGCTTTCACTATAAATGTGAATTAGAATTACTGCAAATTTTCAACAAAAGGTAATGTATTCTGTTTACAAGAAGCTTATATGCCTGTGGTATAATGACATAAGAACGGCCATACCGGGTCTGACCAAGGGTCCATCTAGCCCAGTATCCTGTCTTCTGACAGTGGCCAATACCAGGTGCCCCCAAGGGAATGAACATAACAGGTAGTCATCAAGTGATCCATTCCCTGTTGCTCATTCCCAGCTTCTAGCAAATGGATGCTAGGGACACCATCCATGCCCATCCTGGCTAATAGCCATTGATGGACCTATCTTCCATGAATTTATCTAGTTCTTTTTTGAACCATGTTATAGTCTTGGCCTTTACAACCTCCTCTGGCAAAGAGTTCCACAGGTTGACTGTGCATTGTGTGAAAAAATACTTCCTTTTATTTGTTTTAAACCTGCTGCCTATTAATTTCATTTGGTGACCCCTAGTTCTTGTGTGATGAGGAGGAGTAAATAACACTTCCTTATTTACTTTCTCACCAGTCATGATTTTATAGACCTCAATCATATCCCCCCTTAGTCATCTCTTTTCCAAACTGAAAAGTCCTAGTCTTATTAATCTCTCCTCGTATGGAAGCCGTTCCATACCTCTAATCATTTTTGTTGCCCTTTTCTGAACCTTTTCCAATTCCAATACATCTTTTTTGAGATGGAGCGACCACATCTGCGCGTACCATGGATTTATATAGAGGCAATAGGATATTTTCTGTCTTATTATCTATCTCTTTCTTAATAAAAGACAGACTTAGGTATCCTCAATGGCTATATTAATAGGTTTGTTTTTATTTTCAAATTTTGCACTCTCACAGTAAGAGTTTATTCAGTGTTATTAAACAATTTCCCTGCAAGATAAACGGTGTATGAGGATGCATCTTTCCAGTGAGCAGTTCTGTACTTAAAACCATCAACTTCATTAAAAACTACATTATTATACTCCAACAAATTAACAAAGATTTTTAATTACGTGACAGTCTAAAATACATAAAAATGCCCAACTCTCTCGAATAATCTTTATTATTGCAGATTGAGACCTTCTGCACAAACATAAGAAAAAACATCAATATTTATCATCCTCTTTTGAATGCCACCAGGCTTACAGTGTAAATTCACCTCTCCTGTGTACCATAGACAAAAGTGCACAAGAAAGGAGGTCATTAATTCAATAAAGACAAAAAGCGGATATATTGATGAGTAAGGCAGAAGCATTCCCTGCTCCTCACCCTGAGAAGCCACTGAAGATACCAGGAAGAATAGTGGAAAATAGGCCTGCCACCTTTCTCTGAATACAAGACTCCCCACTACCCATAGGAGGATGACCACAGCTTGATTCCCAGCAGGGCTTTACCTAAGGGAAGCTGTGGGGACAGATGGGGACTCATATGGATGCCTCCACAAGTTTGGAGAAGCATCCAAACTTGTAGATGCTCAGCTAAAATCCAAATCTTACAAGGTGCTGAATTGAGATATTTGTGTTTAAATAGCCTAAAATTCACATTCAGCCCTACAACACCTGGAGACTACTTGGAGTATGATAATATATTACAAGCATAACTGGTAGCAATGCCCATTGTTAAGGTTACTTAGCACCTTCCATTATACGTTCCTGCTTTCAGTTGCTTATAAATTTTGTCTAACTTTAATCATTTGGACTGGAATTTTCCATGCTCTCTTTCTTCATCTCAGACTGAAGTTTTTTGGAAAGTTTTATCAAGAGGTTCTGCTAAATCTGAGACTGAAGAGTGACAAACTATTTTTTCTGATGATAAATTTCTCTTTCCAGGAATTTCTTTGAAGAGCTCTAGCACCTCCATGCATTGGAGCATAAACTTGAAATTTAGCAAAGGGGATAGTCCTGATATCAAAGAGGTGCCTTTTGCTGTTTTCATAAAAGTCCATCCAGATCTACACATGCTCAGCAGAGGTTGTTGGAGGCTTATTGCTAAAAAGTCTCCAAATACTCCATTCTGAACTGATATGTCCCAGAGCAACAGAACTCACTATATACCAACTGCACTAAGCATGCCCTCAGAACTGACAGAGTCTGCTACACAGTAGGCACAGAGCTAGATATATGAAGACAGGAGGCAATGGAAGGCATCCAAACTCTTGGCCCGTGAGAAGGTGTACTGGGGGCTGGAAGTCAAGAGGAGATGAAGTTCCAGTCTCAGCTCTTCAGTTGACCAGTGTTAATTCTGTGAACTTCCAAGCCATTATTGTTAAGCAAGGACTCATATCCTCCCCTACTTTAGGAGGCAGGAAAGGATCGTAATCCATTTTACAATTAAAGTAACAGCTTGAACAAAGCCACTTCTGTCAGAGCTGAGAACAGAACCCCAAAGCTCTAAAATGGCAAGTCACATAAGTGCTTTTCACAACAAATTACATCAAATCTATGTGCTTAGCTGTGGTGCTTGGGTAGTTACACTCGCCTTCAGAGTTAGGAATAGAATCCAGAACTCCTAACTCCCAACATTCCTCTGCTGTTCTGCAAGTAGTTGTGCAAGCCACTGACATTGTATCTGTAGTATCTTCAGTGACTGGTTGACATAGACAATATCAGCTTACTATCACAATTAGTTATTGCTTTAATTCAAGTGTATTCTTACATAAAATGTCAGGGGCACCTAGAATATTGTATTGGCACTCTTATTACAGTGTGCATAAATCTTAACTAAGTGGTCGAAGTCTAGGCTATCCCTCTAGAAGTCTTGGGTTCCTGGTGATAACCCATGCAGTGGATCAATATGGGTTCACCTGATAGAATTTTTTTCCAGTTGGTTTTTTAAAGAAGCTATGACACTTCTCACCAGAATGTTAAGAGTTCAAAAGTCACTCACTCATAATTTAAGAAATTATGGAGAAAGTGAATAAGGAAAAGTTATTTACTTGTTCCCATAATATAAGAACTAGGGGTCACCAAATGAAATTAATGGGCAGCAGGTTTAAAACAAATAAAAGGAAGTTCTTCTTCACACAGCGCACAGTCAACTTGTGGAACTCCTTGCCTGAGGAGGTTGTGAAGGCTAGGACTATAACAGGGTTTAAAAGAGAACGGGATAAATTCATGGAGGTTAAGTCCATTAATGGCTATTAGCCAGGATGATTAAGGAATGGTGTCCTTAGCCTCTGTTTGTCAGAGAGTGGAGATGGATGGCAGGAGAGAGATCACTTGATCATTACCTGTAAGGTTCACTCCCTCTGGGGCACCTGGCATTGGCCACGGTTGGTAGACAGGATACTGGGCTGGATGGCCCTTTGGTCTGACCCAATACAGCCATTCTTATGTTCTTAAGAAATACAACCTTAATGCACCCCCCTTGTGAATGTTTTATTAGAGTTGGCCAGGAATTTTGGAAGCAGGCTTTTGCTGGAAAATGCCAAATCATCTAATCTGAAATGTTTTGCAGAAACATGTTCTATGAACTTCTGACAACCACATGCTGGGTTCCCTTGGAGCTGTAACTTCTGGCTCTAGCTGCGGTTCAGCTCCTGATTCAGGACTTCCAGCTTCCCTGCTGTGGAGCTGGGAGCCTTGCAACTTGGGCTCAAATTTTCCCAAATGAAACATTTAGATTATTCTGGAACAAGTTTTGGGGAAATTTTCCCTTTTGCGGGACATTTCAGATTCAAATTTTCCCTCCAGAATTTTGGAATTTTCCACAAAACAGAAATTCTGACTTTTGACTAGTTCTGTGTGTTATGGTTACAGAGAGCCGGAAGGATGCTCTCTTGTGTTTATGGTACTAGACGAAGACTCCAGTGAGTTCAAGTTTGCCCCTGGCTCTGTTAGGACCTTATGTAAGGCTAGCCAAGCTCATAATGAATACATATAAGAGGATCAAATTAAGGTTGCATCGGGAACCTTTATCATAGCATTTCCTAACTTTTGAGTGTTTGACTTTGCAAAATTAACATTATTTTAATTTTGTTTTTTGTACATAATAGTTAAAAAGCGGTGCCAGTGAAGCTTTGCACATTTTTTTTTTTTAACACTGCACATTTTCCCAGCTTTGCCTGACCACTCTGGCTGGGACACAGGAGGTTATTGGAACAATTTGCCTGAGGAAGAAAGGGAGTAACTTGCCCCAACCGCCTACGA